ATTCTATGAGTCTATGATTCCATGAATCACTGGTAGGACTGACGTTAGGCTCAGCTTCTGTGATTATATGATTCTATGAAGCACTGGTAGGACTGACATTAGGCTCAGTGAGCTTTCAGTTTGCCTTGACATCAATACAGCAACTTTGAAGGGTTTTGTGCAGAGATTCAAGTAGAGCAACACTGTTTAACACTAAGAAACTCAACAACCAGGTCATTTTCAAGGTATTGAAGTTGCCATTAATGGTTTGCCACCTAACTTTATTACAGGCACGCACACCTTGATACATAGCAGCAGGGAAGGGAGACAGAAGGTTTCGCTGATGCCTGGCTGCATGGCTGGGTTTGAACTGAGTGTAGAATTGTGGAGATGCATGTCCAAGCCTTGGGATTAAAACGCTCCATCAAAAATACTACCGGACAGTGATGAGTTATAAAGACATTACTTTGGATTGATCAGGACAGTGTATTTTGAGGGGCTAAGCTTTTGCATTTCTTTTTGGTTGATTTTATTTGTTGGTTTTACTGTTGCAGTGGCATCCTCTTTTAGGTGGATTGTGGATAATGAACTTCTCAGAAAAAATCATTTAACCTGCCCTGATGATTACATCACTGATAAATTACCTGTTGCTAGAGCACCAAAAGGTAACTTTTAAAGCAGTTCATAATAATTTAGACTTTTTAGGACAGTTTGTAAGCATTGAAGCTTTGGGGGATGTAGCCAGTCTGGGTGTATTGTTACAGTTTTCTGCCAAAGCAGAAGGAGCTACAGTATTACAAGAATAAAATGCCCCTCAAGGGACATTGTCAAAATAAAATTGATAAATTAAAGGTTCCCTTCCTCTGGAATTAATGGGTTATTGAATTTAAATGTGATTAAACATGAAATGTAATGGTGGTCACACATATTTTACAGTTCATTCCATCTGACAGTATATTAATTGTGACTGCTCTGCCTCTATTCAAATTCATTAGCACAAAGCTACATCTTGTATACAGAGAAGGGAAGTGGTTACATTGAACTAAAAACTATTTCCAGGGAAATAAAATTGTATTTTTCATTTTGGGTTTACAATTTTTTAGGTCTGGGAATATATCAGTTTAATTTGAAAATTAGGATCAATAAGAAGAATCTTGTGGGTGATGTCAAGACTTCTTTACTTCTCTTACTCATGTGTGAGCCATGATAAAAGGCTTCAGTATGCTTCAAATGGCATTTTTCAGTCCAATCAAAACAAACATTTCAGAGTAATCAGTCTAGTCACAAATTCCAAGATTTAGGGTTGGGTTTTTTTCATTGTAATTCCAAACAAAGCCAACAACGCAACATCTCAGAGCTTCCTCTGAAGTGGCAATTTTGTTGTCTAACTATAGGAATGTGGGACTAGACGGTATATCCTGTTTATGTCAATTTTCTGGCTGTCATAAATCCATCTTATAGCTCTTTTTGCAAACAGAACATGGCATTCTAAATCCCTGCACTTGTAAGGTTAACATAGCTTTCTGAGAGTAATATAACTTTCTTTGTATGTAGCTTGTTTAATCAGTATTTCTAAAAGCTTCCTTATTAAAGCACTAAGGTTTGTTTGGCAACATAAATTGTAAATGTAAATTAAATTCTATAGGATTTAAAGTGTATTTTTTTCCATCAGCAAGACTAAAATAATTAGTACACCTATGCTCAGAATGAATGCTTCTCATTCATGTTTTTCACTCACAGAATTAAATTTTTCTATGAATTACAGGAAAATCAGAACCTGGCTACATCAAAGAGACATTTAGTTTTAAACAGCATGTTTCTTCAGGCTCACGAGACCAGAGGCCTGCAGGGATTGCACACCAACAGAAAATATCTGGGAGTCTGCCAAATGTGTCTTTATGCACATTAACTGAACCTTCACCTCCAGACTCCAGCCACCAGATTAAAAAGACAAGTAGGGTATGTTTTACAGATTTATTTGTTTCAGTCTGTCAGAACTGTAGGGCCTATTGCCCTTCCTATAATGAAGGGTAAATATCAATGCATTGTTGATTTGGCTCCAGTACTTGCTTTATGGGGTCTGTTAAGAAAAATACAGCATTTCTGTATGAATTTTGGAAGCTGTATAGCTTTAATTAGACACGTACAGATACCTTTTTCATCGTTCTCAGAATTGCCGTGTTTAATTTTGCACCGTGGTCTTTGTTTTTCAAAGAAAACTCGTGCCTCCCAGAAGAAGTTACCCTGGAAAGATACGAAGTGCAAAGCAGAGGGAGAAAGAGAGCGTGCTTACCTCGCCAAACTTGAGAACAGACAGGATTACTTGAAGAACCCCCGCTTTTTCCCGCCAAATGCTCTTCATGGAGGCAAATCCCTTGTCATTTCTCAAGAAAAGGTGGAACAAACCATAGCCAGAAGCAAAGCAGAAGATATTAAAGGGTATGCAGTATATATGGTTTCTTGATTCTGGGCTGGAGCACACAGAGAGCTCCACTATAGAACTACTGTGGGTTTGCACGTAGGTATTTTAAGCTGCATGTCTGTATGACATTTTGGGTTTGCTAAAATCATGCAATTTCTCGTTTCATCATCATTTAAAGAACTAGGCAGTAAGATAATGTCTGCTTTTTTATCTTTCAGCGGTACCTCGTTTGTTCCTTTGTTTCTTGCCAATCCACCTACTGTTTTGTTTTCTGATTATGAAGTTGGTCAGGTTTATGAGGTGAGAATTTACTTCTTGGTAGAGAGTTAATTCTGCCACTGAAAAGCATTATGTCCTGCCATGATCTACATATTTCACCCAATCTTTTGGCTTCCTGCAGTTTAACAGAAGCCCGAGTTTCTTCTTCATATTGATTTACTATTTAACGATAACACTCTTTGACACAAACCAGTGGCACACACACCAGTGGAAACGAGAAGGGACCCTTTTCAGTCTCTTCTTGGTTTTGGTAGTATCTGCTTCAGCCTTTATTGAATAAAGAGATTTCTAGGCTGGTTGTGATGGTAAATTAGCTACTGCTAGCAGAGCACTAGAGAATTGCGGACATTGTAATGAGTGATGATAAATACAATGGAGTGTTTTATTTTCTTTTTAAATGAAGATGACTATAGAGCTGCAGAACATCACTTCAACGTGCCATCCTGTAAGACTTATCCCCCCCTCCACTTCAGCATTTGCCATTGGGCCAGGTAAGGGTTCTTTTTACTGCCTTTAAGATGTTAACGCAGAGAGATCTAATTTATCTGTTGAACAAAGATTTTTCAGAGCCTTTCTGTTTAGTTCTGCTATCCATAGAAACGGAACGTTGCTGTCTCTAGGACCATTCATGTGTAACTCCTAAGTAGATTCAAATGGTCTAATGAGGCATTCAAAACATTAACATTAAAGTGTTTGAAGTTAGATTGAAATATGTCCGTGGAGTACCTAGATGGAGTCTTATCCAAAATTAATCTAGGAACAGATGTAGTTTACACTGAGATCATTAGCTGGGGTGGGGAGGGCAAGAAATAACATACTTCAGTTGCTGCAAGGAAGATTATATTAGAGGAAAGTTAAGAAAAGCATCCTTCCTTGGAGTAGGATAGTCAGGCACTGGGATAGATTGCCTAGGGAGATTGTGGTATCTCAGTCACAACACTGGAGGAATATGTAGAAAGTCAGATTCCTCCATGTAAACCTTGTCTTGTGGCAGAGCAAAACTGGGTAACATCTCTAGGTTTCTCCTCGTTCTGTTTTCTGTGGTTATGAGAAGCCTATTCCAGACAAAAAGATCTCCTTGGAGTTCAGTGGAAGATGTGCACACACACAGATGACGCTGGCAGGCCTTTGGCTGTCGTTTGTTTTTATCAGCTTGACGTAGGCAATAGATGGGGAGAGTTTGCAGGCCAGAGGGAGATGTGATCATAACGACATATGCCAGCTCTGGGAGGTTTTAATTTTTGTAATTCCTTGCATTTTCTTTTTTCAGGACAATTTCCAGGAAAGGGAGGACTGGTAGCTCCTGGGATGACATGCCAGTATACAGTCCAATTTATTCCTGAACAGCTAGGAGATTATGAAGATTGTATATCAGTGGAGACTCAAGTATCAGAACCTCTTCTGATCCCGATTAAAGCTAGAAGATCACCTCCAGTGTTAACATGTCAGTGATGTCCAATTCTTAATTTTCTCTAATGTTAAATGGACTTCTTGGGTTTGATTTTTTTTTTAACTTGACTGTCTCCAATTTTATGTCACAAAACAAACGTGGACAAACTTAGAAGTGCAGTTACTACATTTTGATATCTATTTTTCACTCATAAATTATTTATTAGTTATAAAAATGTAATTTTGTCAAGAGTTTCTTCAATTATTTGTTCTTGCCACATCAGGCTCATTTTTTTTCCCACTGGATTAGAGGAGTGAGCAAGAGCTGCTTTTCTAGGTTTTTGTCTTGTTGATTCCTGACCTCCTAACTGTAATTACTAATCCTAAATCTTAAGGAATTATGATTTAGTTATAAATATTTGATGCCATTCATTAATATTTATGGCCTCTTACATTAATTATACATGGGTATGACACATCTGCAGGATTCACCTCTCAGATACCTAGCCTCGACTGTAACAACCAGGATTACTTCTGCAGAAACTTGATTTGCTTTTTGGTAAATTCACCTTTCCAGTTATACTGAGTTTTTTTAAAAATCATCTTACTTTTTGTTATCATTCAATAGGGTCTTTAAGTAGGAAGCACTACTAAATATAAGATGAATATACACCTCATACGATTTGACTTTAAAATGGAAAGAATTTGAGGCTTTTCAGGATTGCAACACTTAGCATATTCATATGCAGTAATGTTGCCTGTAAGGAGTTATTTGAGAAGTAGCTGGCTTTTCCAGCTGCTACCCATCCCTGTCTGTGTAGCCTGATTTTCTGTGTTACTCGTTGCAGTGCCTCACATTATAGACTGTGGTTCCTGCCTCGTTGGAGGAATAAAAGTAACAACAATTCTGTGCAGAAATGGGGGAACTAGCACTGGGAAGTTCTCCATAATGCCAAAGAAAGCCTGGCCAACTCCTAATTTCAGGGTGAGTGATTAGAAGGAAAACACTGGTCATGGTATGGTATCAGTGCCCTGGCATGAAGGTCTTCTGAGGTAGCCATGGTGTATTAGCACACAAGCCATAAAACCTTGCTGGAGACATTTGTGTCGTGCCATTCCCTCAGGGATTTACATTTATCCTTGAGAACAATCTCCCTGGAAGTCCACACCTTCTGCTTGTGTTCTGGCTCGCCTCTGTAAGAAATTGTCTTGCTTAGTGGTGGGGCAAACTCAGGCATAGATCAGGGACAGGACACCTGGCTTGAACTTTAACCTTACCCTTAAAGCAAATAAGAAACGCTATCAGTTCTAGCACTGCTCGAGCTGATCTCCTTCCCACCAAAGGTATCACTGACCTTGCTGCACCCGTAGACCCTAGCAGCCAGCTCCAGTGCTGCTCTGTCTTTAGCTTTCCACCACAAAACAAGGTCCAAGTGAAACGGCCAAAGAAGGTAAGATGGGACTGGTAGACTGGCATTTTATGTGCTGGAGAAAAAGCTAATGGAACAGTTGCTGTGCCAGGTTATCCCTCCCAAAAAGTGTCTCGTAAGCATGGAGAAACAGAGCTCCTGTGCTTGGGCATAGCTCTTCTTCTGTCATCATGAATATTAGAGCTCCTGACACCATCATTTGCCTTTGGAGACAGCACCCCCCCTCCTACTTTCACCAAGGTAATTATAAAGCATGGAGCATTTCTTTTAATTAAGTTATATAGATAAGCCATATACTTTTGAGATGTGTGAACAATAAAAACCAGAGTAACAGGTAAAACAGTGATTTTGTAATATACTGCCTGTTTTAGGTAACCCTGTATTTTAAAATCAACAACCTGATCAATTTAATTTATTAATATTTCTTTTTTTTCTCTTTTTTTTTTTTCCTCTTTAACATCTTAGGCTGTTGCCACTGTTGATTTTGTGATACAGGATCCTTTTGGGATCCATCCTGCTGTTTTTGAGCTAGCTCCAGGGCAGAGTACCACAGTAGAGGTTAGTACCCTCTGTTAGAGAAAGTAGTTGTAGTATTGTACTAATACATTAGCAAGCAAGATCACTTTAGATCTTGGCTGGACCATGTGAATTTGGGGTTGTGTGACCAAAAATGCTCAAATCCTTTTGTACAGTTATGCTGGAAGAATTGTGTGTCTTACTGGAGAGTCTTTCATTGCAACTTCAAAGTCTTGCTAAAGTGGCTAAACTCAGAGACCAGTCACACTTTCCCCAGACAAAGGAACCTGTTAGAGAAAACAGGAATCTGAGAACAGAGGGGTGCTTATGTCATTCCAGCTGGGGCTTCAAGTCCAAGAAACTCTTCCTTTCTGAGCTTCCTTGGAAAAAAAAAAAGGACATTTTGGGGGAAAAAAGAATTCTTTCATTGTAGAGCAGCAGGTACAAATCCTGCACTTACACTGTGCTCTTTCCTGAAAAAGATCCTGCAGTAGATGGGCATTACTTGTTGCTACCACTGCTTGGGCTTGTGTGGGCCATGTTTTATTATAGCATCACTATGGGGAGAGGAAGAGCGATATGCAGAGTATGGATAGCCTCCAGCCCTTCCTTTTACCAGAACCTCCTGGCTGTTGGTACTGGATCAGGCAGGTGTGGATAAAGGAGAATGTTTCTTCTCCTCTCTGTCTCCCCAGGTGCATTGCTTCAGCAGGGCCAGGCACACATGGGAGAGAAAGAGGAGGTGGATTTAGTGTGGGTTGGGTTTGCAGGTGGTAGTGCATAACAGGTCCCTGAACTCTTTTTGCTGAGGTGGGAGTTGAGGAGGGCACACAGAGCTGCCCTGCTCGCGCTGCTGTAGCTTGCCAGGCGGTAGTGGTGGTGCCCAGGAGGTGATGGAGGGCAGACCCGATCCAGAGGGTGCAGGTCATACAAATAACCCTGCAGACTGCCTGCTTCTCCAGTGACTACAAAGGCAGCCTCTGCTGAGCAGCCCGATACACACATGTAAGTGCAGTGACCCAGAAAACACCGATTTCTTTCTAGTCTGTATCAATGGAAGGTGACTGTTTCTTGCAACTGTAAGGTTTAATTACTAACCATTATACCTGTCCTCTAGTGAACATGTACAAATTGAAGTTTGTTATGTCCTGGAGAGAAATCAGTTACAGACATTGCTATCTCACTTCTCTCTTTCAGGTGGTGTTTTTCCCTTCTTTACCAGAAGTCTCACAGCAGACATACACCATTGTTTGTGACGGTTGCCAAGTCAAGGATGTTACAGTCACAGGTTTGTTTCTAACACCTTTCAGAGACTCTGTTTCTAACTCCGTAGATACTCAGATAATGTGAGTGGTGGTTGATGGCTTGACGTGATGGTAACGTTTTATGTCATTGAATGAAGCAAATGCTTTGTCCCAGATGGTGTTAAATGCTAAGCATTTTTATTATGATTACTCCTCCACCCCAGTGCATGAAATACACAGGGTTCAGAAAGCACCGTAGCCAAAAATCCAAATGTAAAATGTCACCAAGTAGCAGAAAAGAAAACCTGTTGTCAGGTGCAATTCGTTTCTTAGACTGTTGTATCAGTAAGATAACATGTCAAACTATAAACCATCAGCTTTAACAGAGCAGAAATACATTTGGGTGTGAAGCAGATTTGGGGCATATCTTGGATTAGGATATTCAGGAGAGAGAGGCAGTCTTTGGATTAGCTAATGAAAGCGGTTGAAATTCTGTAAATGTTAGTGCTTGTCCTGTAATGTGATTGGGAGAGCTGTAACACAAGGCTTGACTTGTAGTCTGTTTAATCCCTTTATTACAGTTACTTCCTTGGAATTTTTTTTAATACTGCATTTGCTGCTTATTTTAGTTTCAATATACTGCTCAAATAATCTGGGACACAGGTAGTCAACAATTGCAAACACCCTGCTCACTTCAGAGAAACAGTGCTGATGTGGGTGAGCTGAGGTTGTGGCCCTGAGATCCAGATCCGTTAAATTCATGAAGAGAAGATCTCTACTGATAAACAAAGCACATCAGGAAAATATTGTACAATTAACACACTGAAGCTGTGAAACTTGAGGAAATGTCAGACATCATCAGTAATGACCATTGCTGGCATTTGTTGTTAATGAGTAACATGAACAGTGTTAATGGCCAGATGGTGAACAGTAATACCTGCTTATTTCTTCAAGGGGTTGGAGAGCTGCTAGCTCTGCAGCTTTTGTTCGTCACGGGTGGAGAAAGCAAACCTGAACCCGGTGAAGTTACTGATGTAACAGCACAGCACCTCATACGATTTGACCCCCAGAACCCACACAGCACCGAGGAGAAGAAACTGGTTATAAGAAACTCTACGTACGTAGCTACTATTAGTAGAATAATGCTCTGCAGTCTGAACCTGCTGGTAGGGATTTCATTTGTGACACCACCTGCTCTCAGGCTGGAGAAACCTTTGTGCACCTTGCTTCTTTTTGCTCCATTGTTTAGTAATTACGGTGCAAGGATATACCTCTGAGAGCAGGAACATTATACACAGATCAAACACGGTGGCGACCATTAGCCGTACCATTTGGTTCATACACTGCCAAGGTCAGTATTTGCTTTGGTATAGATAAATCTACAGCTCCAAAAGATTTGTAAGTATGGATGGTTTCAGGATATATGAACAGGGTCATCCAGATGAGATTCATCTAACTTGACATGCCTACAGTGTACACTTGTGCAGCTGAGCTAAGCACCCTGTACTCTTCCTGTCATAGTGCAGGGAAATAGATGCTTCTAAGGATGCAATTCTGAATGCAGGCGTCTCCCATAGAATGAGGCATAATGCATCCTGGACTCCATTAAAACTCCATTAACTCACATTAAAACTTTCACGTGATTCCTACTATTGAGTCCTAATGGATTTAAATATAAATTCTGTTTGAAGTCAAGGAAGATGTACAATTATATTGTACTGAACATAGTGACATCCTGATTTTGCTCAGAATCAGTTGGGCAATAATAGAAGTACGCTAACGTGCATGATTGCAGGAGTTAGCGGCTGCAGAGCATCAGAGCAGTGAGGTGAGTGCTGCTTTTAGATACATTGATGTGAATTCCTACTTGCTACAGTGGATTTCAGGAAGTTTGTTTTGTGGCCTGGAAACCACACACACATAATGCCAGAACAGAATGCTCTTTGGGTAAAGAAAGTGTAATTCAGTGGACTGGATACTGTAAACTGACTGTGCCAATTTCCACATTATCTCTGTGCTATAATCATGACAGCAGTCCCTGCACGTCTGCTGTCAGGATTTTTGACATGTTAAAGACCACACCTTGCACTGGGATTAAATTCAGAATGTTAAGTGGGTCATCATTATGTAGATTTTTTTTTTCAGGAACTGTCCCGTTGATCTCAGATTCTTGAAAGAGGAATTGTAGAGTTTCCTAAAAGTTGCATTACGTGACAATTTAAATAAGGCAAAAAATGTTAACGCTGTCTTACAAGTTTATATACTTCACTTCCATATATTAGCACGTTCTTTGTGCAATTTATGTACTCTGATTCTATGCAGCCTCATCAGCTTTGTAGCTTACAAAGACTAGTAAGTCTAACCCCTGTAACTTTTACAGAGGGGAACTCCCTACATGGAAAAAAGCTACTGAAAATTTTCTCCCAGTATTTTACTCAAAAAAATCTGATTTTTTAAAAAATTATAGCTTTTTTACTGCTTATTGATGTCTTTGCAGGCATGTAGAACTTCCTTTCTACTGGCAGATAAGGAAGCCTAATCCAAAACCATTAATACCAGAAGAAACCACAGACTTTATGGAGCTGAAATCCAATCAAGACACAGATTCAGCCTTCTCCCTAAATCCTGAGGAGGGAGTTTTGCTTCCCCACGCGGATCATGAGTTTATTCTCACTTACACTCCACAGGAGGTATGGCTTGTGATTCCTTCCTATCTACAAACTCCAGCTGTGTATTTTTACGCGAGTCATAAAATCCTTGCTGTGCAGCTTTCTAAATTATATTTAATTAGCTGGTACTATGCTCTGATAAACAGTGTTCAAAATGTAGAAACTTACTAAAAGAAAACATGTTTTGACTGCAAAATGTGAGACAGTTTCTGATCTCATGTCATTTTTGGTACTGACTGGACACAATTAATTTTACACCCAAACTACGGACACATCCTCAGAGCTGCAGCTGTGCTGGCTGGTAAAGTTACCACCCTACCAGCTCCTCACCCTTCCCTTTCTGCTGAGCGAGACCTACTGCAGCCTAAATAAGCTTGGTTAGCAAACAGTGATTATTTAAACTGTTTCCAACTGTGGCTTTTGGGGGCTGAAATGGGTTCTCTGAACACTTGTGTGGGAAATTAAGGGGATAATAGTAACCTTTGGCAGAGAAATGATGGTGTGCAGCTGTGGGTAGAGGGGTGCAGCGATGTTTGAATGCAGCTGTACCAGTGACTGTTGTCTTAGTTTCTGCTTTCCTGTCTGTGTAAATAAGGAGGATGAGCTCATTGTATTTAAAGAAACTTGATCCAAAGGAAGTCCAAGAGTGGGAATAGCCCATGCTGTGGTGATTGACAGATATAGGAACAGCTCAAGTAAGTATGAAAGAGAAGCTACCTGGGTTCTTTTTAAATAGTCTAGTTAGTTAATAGAAAAATAGTGAATTAACATATACACTTAAGTTAATATGTCTCTACAAACACATAAATCTTTTGTAAAGCCCTTCAGATTTGAGGCCTGCTTCTGTGTTTTCTTTTTTCCCTTACATGAGAATATAGAAGGCATCCTCTTTTCCTGTCATGGAATAGTAGTGTTTCCAACTCAAAATCAGATTGATGGTCAACTACATTAAATACTCTGGAGCAGTTAGAAGAAACTTTTAGTACAGCAGTACCAATCTTAATTTCGGGAGCCTCTGCAGATGTTTGTGTGTAGTGTGCAATGTACTAGGGAAATAATAACAGGCATGTCAAAAAGGAGTGTTTTTCTTGGAACCATACACCATGAGATCAGAATCTGGCTTAATTTTTTGCAGTCAAACGTGTTTTCTTTTAGGAACTCTGGAGTTTGAATATTGTTTATCAGAGCTTAGCACTCCAGTGGTGATTGTTCATCTTTTGAATGTAAACTACTTTTTCATCTTTTTTTTAATCTTCAACGTAACTGATTACTTGACATTAAAATCCTCTTTCTTCATCTGTGTAGCTGAAGCATTATCACAGTGTGATGCAGATGGTACTGAGGGACATCTCAGAATCACCTCGGTAAGCTGAGAAACAATATTTCCCAGTAAGATGTGCAGCCACATTTTAGCTATGCCATTACATTAAGTTCCTGGGATTCTTTGTATTTCTGGTGACGGTGGACTGACAGTTATAAAGGATTTTATAATTTTATAAAGGTCCCTTCCAACCCAAACCACCCTACGATTTTATCTGCACAACTAATAGTGGTCAAGAGTGTCTCTGTGAACTCTGTTCATGTCTGAAAACATGCCTTAGCCCTAGTTAGTGCTGCATCTCCTGGAAAAAGATACTCCTGTCATTTTGTCTGTTCATTTTCCAGGCTTTCTGCTGAGATTTCCAGCAGGTTTTCTTGTTATTACTGTTTGTTATTACATCCTTGTTCATGAACAGACAGGGACAGCTAGAGTACTTTAAAGAACCACTGGAATTTTTCCAGTTTTTAATTGCCCCCAACCTGAGCTGCACACTGGCAGTCTGTAGCTGAGAAACTTTTGATGATGTTCTGTTTTGATCTGGCAGTTAAAGGATGGGATCCAGTTTAAACACCAGTTGAAAACGCTTAATAGTTCTACCATATTTTCTCCCAAAGTTTAGTAAGAGAGGGGATGCTTCAGAACATTCCAGAACACAAAGCGGAAGATGTTACAGCGCTGGAAATAGAAGTTAAAGGATCAACGGAACCGTTTCAGCTGCTTCTGGAACCATACGCCATTATCATCCCTGGAGAGAACTTTATTGGTGTAAATGTCAGAAAAACATTTAAGGTTTGTTTGCTTTTGACTTCATTGCTGTCGTGTGCTTTGTGTCACTGGATGTCATAGGTGTATTAGAAGATATCAGACAATCCATGTTATTTTATTGATTTAAAATGTTTTTACAGGAGGCCGTGACCCCTCTGTACAGAAATCCCCCCGCAGGCCTCCTTAGGCCCACGTTCCAGGCAGCAGGCTTGGCTTGGTTTTCATCTCTCGAGTTTGATACCACCGAGTTTTACCATTCTAAATGTTTTTCTGCGTCACTAACCTGTTGCTTATCACTTTCTCACTCATGTAGTATAGAAGTTTTCCATGTGGGAGTAGTAGCCAATGGATGCCCGGTTAGCAACCTGGTCTAGTGGAGGGTGTCCCTGCCCATGGCAGGGGTTTGGAACTGGATGATCTTTAAGGTCCCTTCCAACCCAAACCATTCTGTGATTCTATGATTCTATAAGCACACAAACAGAAAGAAGTATACTGGGAAGGAAACATGAGGAATTTGTGCATAGACCAAATGTGCCGTAGAGCTGCACTGATCTCTAATGCGTGATCTGTAGAGTTTTGATTCTATGATTAAATTACTTCATAACGGAGGCACTGTTCATGCAACAGATTGCTGCAAGCGCAGAAGAGCTTCCAAAGTCACGTGTGCTGCAGTTTACTTGACCTTATTCTTTCCTGCAGATTCTGTGGTTTCTGTTTGACCATTATGGGTCAGACTGCTGCTGCAATTGTCCACTCACTCAGCATCCTCTGCACTATAGACCAGGATGCTTTTGGTCTTAGACTCACTTGAGAAAAACAGGGCTGTTAGCAAGAACCAGGCAGGAAGACATTTCCCAGTAAATGACCTTCCCATTTTTTGCTAATCAGCATTTAGTTTAATGATTTCTTTTCCTAGAAGATCTTTTTCAATTTAAGACAGTAATTTAATACTTTCCAGTAATCCAGTAGAGCTACATGTGTGGTATAGGTAATTAAATCACTGGTAATACGATGATTCCTCACAATTTCCAATTGTTTTTTTTTTTACTCTTAAAAACATAAGATTTTGAACTGTGCTTAGAAATAATTGTGCTTCAGGGAACAAAGTTATTTGCTGTAATTAAGAGATAATGTCTGAATAGATCTGAAGAGCAGGCCAACGTTTTCAAGAGTGTGTATCTCCCTCACTGGCAGATCCTTTGTCCAAAAAAAGATTGCTCTCAAAAGAAAGATTTGAAGTTTAAGTTTAGAAGTTCTATTACATTTTGTAAGGAGAAAAAAAAGAAGGGGGGGGGAGAGGGGGGGGGATGTGGAATTTTAAAAGGCTAAACCAGGCTGGAGTAATTGCTCCCAGCACTCTCCAGTTGGCCTTATTTTCAGTAAGGAGAATCCTAGGAGATGAGGTCAGATGTAGCTCTTGCATCTGTTTTGCAGACACCTGAAATCTGGTCAGGTGAATCCCACTTCTTGTCCTTTATTACATCACAGAGGAAAAAGGAAAGGGAGGACGCAGCATTATCATGAAAATAACAGTAGATAGTACATGGCATTGGGTAGTACTGTTGAGGCAGAGGTTAGGTGAAGTTCTGTGCCTTTTCACGCTTACTGTGCTCAGTTTGTTTCAAAACTCAGGTGAAAATAAAGTATTGGTGTAGCCAGATTCCAGGCTGAAATGTTTACTGGTGATCAGGGTAGGGTTGGAGTTTGCAAAGTATGTGATGCAAGACTTGCAACACCGAGTTGGCAGTGTGGCAGTACTCACAGCAGATTGGCTTGTTGCTGTGAAAGCTGAAAGTGCATTAATTGTGTCCTTGATTTTAATTGTTTTAGATGTGGAATAACAGCAAATCATTGATCAAGTACACGTGGGAGAAAATCATTACCTGCGACATCGTAGAAGTGGAACCCCATACTGGTGTCATAGGTAAAGTTTCTGTGACTGGAAAGTTATCAGCTAATAACAGAAATAATTGAATTGGTATGAGTGGAAGAGAAAAATTACAGAGCACTACGGTGCAAGCTGGAAAACAAGACCTGATCCCCAGCCCACCGGAGCCAGCAGGAGGCTTAATTTGGGAGCTTCAATAGCAGGCTGGCAGCAGGTGGTTTCTTTGCAAAAGGGTGAGACAGGACCCTAAATTTTTCCTTTCTAGATATGAACGCGTGCTGTGAGTTTCAACTGACAATTACTGGAAGCAAGGCTGGGTGCATCGGCCACAACGTGCGGTGTAACGTTGAACACTGTCCGGAGCCAGTTGTGCTGCATGTTGAGGCTGCTTTTAAGGTAAGGAACAGCGGGATGACTCATCGTTGGGCCTGGCTGTCATCCATATAAAGCTTTTTGCCTTTTAATAGCATGACAAATCTAAAGCTGTTAAACCAGGAGGTAATTTTGCTGTCTAGTTACTACGGAGGCAATGTTGACACTCCAATGATAATAAGAATTTTTCTGCATTACATGCAATTCATTTGCTTTCTGCTATTCTCTGTGAAGTTAAATGTTACTCTTAGATAATTTATGCTTCTTAATTAGACAATTTTGGCAGAAGTGTCCATTCTGACATCTATTTCCTGGTGTCCTAGGGTCCGCTTCTTCGTATTGATGTTCCGTCACTCCACTTAGGTTTGACAAAGCCGGGCGAGAGTGTGTTAAGGACCTTTGAGATTAAAAATCTGTGTCAGCTGCCAGCAAAATGGAGGATGCAAGAAAGCCAGGTTTGTCTAGCTGAAAGGAACGAAGAGGTACGTCGCTGCTGTAGCTGGCTGTGTTCCCTCTTTAGCTATTTAGAATCATAGAATGGTTTGGGTTGGAAGGGACCTTAAAGACCATCCAGTTCCAACCCCCTGCCATGGGCAGGGACACCTTCCACTAGACCAGGTTGCTCCAAGCCTCATCCAGCCTGGCCTTGAAGACAGCCATTTCTTCCTTATGCTTAGGAGCTGTAGTATTCATTCCAGATATCAAAAGTTATAATTTCTAGGACTTCTTATGAAACTGGTTTTGCACAGTTCCTTAAGCACACAAGTTCTTTTGAGATTAAAGCTTCCTTGCAGTTTTTCTCTATTCCTATTTATTACAAATCCCCTGCCTGCCTGACGCAGAGACATTGGAGTACTTCCCGTATAACAGTGATTACAGCTACTGATGCTATAAATAAGAGGGTAAGACTTTATCCCAACTGAGGCTGCTAAACACTCCTCTCACACCCCCATATCAGCATCTCGGCACCTACTGAATTGGGCCTTTTGGCTTGAAAGAATAGCTTTGAAACACACAGTTGTGTCCCAGAATAATTTCTTACCACGAGGAATACTAAAACTATTGTTTAAATATTATCTAGACTGTGATGTGTCAAATGCAGCTCGTTCCAGTCTGACTTCAGAGCTCATTCCACCATCTCCTATAAAATGACTAAAGCAGCTTGGAGGTGATACTGATGACAGAGTTGAGGGCTGCTGTCTGCAGAGCATCACATACTGCTAAAATTGTTGTACTGTATCCCCATGAGTTCTTGAGCTTTCTCTTTGGCGTATCAAGTAGCCATCTCTCCAACGTTGGGTGAAAGTTGATGGAAAAAAGGAAAGATTTGGGAGTGGTGGTTATGGCAGCCTTGCAAAACAGTTGTGTGTGCGTCCGTCTGTCCCTCTTCCCCCAGAACAATTGTAATCAGAAGTGCCTGATTAGGGATAGGGGTGCCCTGGAGGAGACCCTGCCTTCACAGTTCTCAAGGCCTTAGTTCTCATTGTTATTCCTTTGTCCCCTGATATTCCCAACAATTCCCAGAATCCCAGATTGATTTTAGACATAATCTCTTCATTTCTCAGCCCAGAGCCCATACAGAGTTCTCCATTCCTCCTGCACAAGAGCTACCCTCCTGCATAAGAGCTACCCCTTTCTTTTCCTGAACCTCTCCAGCTCCCACCCCACACTGGTGCTCCTTCTGTTTCCATTCTTCCAGCCTTCCTTCCCTGACTTTCTGTCTAAGAATTTCCCCAGCATGTGGCACCTTGCGTAGCTCCTGCTCAGCCCCTCTGCTTGGGAGGAGACACTGCTGCTGACCACTTCACCTTCACACTCCCCCTCGCTCCACGCACAGGCATCCCTGTTACGCCCTTGGCTCTGACCTTCTCCTCGGTCACTGCCTTGTTATTAGCTGTCCCCATGGAAGCAAAGTCCTGCCTCCTCTTCTAGCCAGGCTTTCACAAAGCTAGCACTGTGCTTGCTGAAATCAACCCAGGTGGGACTCCAGGGGAAAAGACAAAAGGCATGTCCGAGGGAAAACTAGACACATGTAAACCCTAATTAGACTGTGTGGCTTCAGCACTTTACACTTGTTCTGCCGATGTCAAAGGAATTTCTGTTTCCTCTCTCGTCTCCCAGGTATCTCCCTTTACCATTCAACCATCTGCTGGAGAGATACCTCCTCTGGGTACGTGCAGCGTGTCAGTTCAGTTCACATCCTTGCTATGCCGGCGCCTCCAGGCAGTGTTAGAGCTAGAGGTAGAAAATGGAGAAGGAAGGTAAGGGAGAAAAGTGGCATTCTGCTTTGTTTTTTTCCCCTGAGATTCACATGTGATTTTCACTTTAAGTAGTTTTATCTCCTAAAACAAATCCACGTAGCAGGAACTCGGAGTGGGGTTGTGTAACCTATCAATGAACTAGCCAATCACTAATATTGCTAAATAAACATCATCATCGTTCCTTCCAGCATGCTGTTGTATGTCTAGCACAGATTCATTAACCATAACAATAGACCATCTGTGTGTTTATTTCCAGTCATCTTCCTGTTTTTGTTGAAGTTCAGACCCCCCAAGCGTGCCTGATATCCAGTCATCTAGTATTCGCTGAAATTTATACCGGAGTTCCTGCCAAAGCAACCAACAAACTTTTTAACCAGACGCTGCTGCCAACAAAATACTTATGGGGAAAGGTAAACTCACTTCTAATGGATAAAGCATACAGCAGGGATGAAAATTGCAGTTCTATCAAAATACAAAAAATAACTACTCTTAAAAGCTTTTCTGATGTATCTTTTGAGTAGTGATTCCTAATTACTGGCTTATGAGCAAGACTTCAACTTAAGACCAGCCTTTATGAAAAGATTAACTACCAGCTGATGTTAATACCCTCTTACTCTCTGTGGGTCATCCCCGGGAGGAGGGGCGGGCAGTGATGTGAGGGGAAATAGGACGTAAGCCACCAGAGAATTGAACAAAGTACCATGGCAGTTTAGGGTTTGCATTTAATTCAGCAGAGCAAAGAAACGGTGGTGCTTTTGTGTCTAAATTCTGCTTAAATTTCACATTCTGGGTGGGATTCAGCTTACAGATCAGGACCCCTAATTTTAATGCCAGTAGGTAAACTCTGGTCTGAACCCTCTTTGCAGTCAAAGGAAGTCTGAGCAGGAAGTCCATCACCAGAATATATACGTTTAGTGTCATGGATGCTGTAGGGTGCTCTTCCTGACCTCCAGAAACCACTCAAGAAGCTTGGTCTTCTGTAAATCCTGTCACATCAGCCAGCCAGGCATGGCCTGGCCACCCTGTGTGTGTAGAATTCACAACTGAATTCTACCCGATCTATAGTCACTGGAGTCCAGAAAAGTATTCGGCTTCCCCTAGAATGGACACTTTGGGCTGCAGGATGCTCTCTACACATAGCAACTGGACGTCTGTTGGCTGCAGCGGTGGTGTTGCACCCACTACACGTACACTTGTGTGCCGTAGCCCGAAAGCTGAATCCTGCCATCAGTGCCTTGGTCATTCAGATCTACTCTGACACCCAGGGTTCAGCTCTGTTGCCCACATAAAAGCATTCAGTGCCATCCAGCGTGTCCTCAGGTGCCCAGGACATCCTAATGGAGCAGGTTTTTACATGGTATCTGGTGTTTGCCTGTGAGCAACTGAGCTGACCCCTGGATTCATGCCCTGTGTAGTTAGTCACTTAGGGAAGGCACCAAGCCCAAGATTGTCTCTGTAGTCAGTGGAGAGAGAAACGGCACCACTAGGATCCTGCTCCAACATCAGAGAGGTTGTGAAAGGCTTGTGAGAGGGATTACAGTGACTCTGCTCCCAGCCCAGATGCCTCAGTTGGGCACCTAAGTCGTTTGGAATGAACGCAGGCATGAGGGTCTTAGCAGCCATGGGGGAGTTGTAAAGCAAGTCTCCACACACTGTACGTGTTGCTACCTGAAAGTGTCGTAAATCTGAAAATACCTCTGGTTTTGCAGTCCTCTTGGATCTGAAGAGAAAATCGGAACGAATCGAGGTTAGCTGAGTGTCTGTCCTTTCTGTTTGGCAGCTTATTGGAAGTCAGGCAGCTTTCTGCTCCGTCACTGTCTCCCCAGCCAGTGGCTCCTTGGGCCCAAATGAAGAAAAAGAATTCTGTGTAGAGCTGTCAGCTAACGTCATGGTAAGTTTAAAACCGTGCAATTTTATCAAAACAGCAACGCTGGCATTCTCATCTCACCTCCATCTGGCAAAAGGCAAGGTTTTGATGTAGAAAACATACAGCTCCTTTCCCTGTATATCTCTGAAATTGTTTTGCTTTAGAGATACCATGGTTGAAGGCAAGAATTAAAGCAGCCCACATGGGGGGCAATTTTCTACCCTGCCTCTTTGTTTCTCAACTGTTCTTGTTTTCTTTCTTGAATAGCAATTCAGTTAGTCTTCATGCTTATCACTTTTCTCGAAGCACACAGATCCTTACTCTGGATTATCCCAAATGAAATAGAGCAGACTGGCATATATAGTATGCATGTCATTTTCTGAATGCAACTGGACTCTTGATATTTTGAGATCCGAAAATTTAAAAAGGACTGATAGGACTGAGAGCCTGCAAAATAGGGTGTAGACTGCAGAGGTAACAAACTTCAGGAATTCAGCCATAGACTTTATAGGGGCATTCGAACAGCAAGTAAATGAAGGAGCTTCCTATAGGTCTGGTGAATTAGTTCCCATTACAGTCACCAGAGACCTAAGTTTAATTTATTTGCTTAAAAGTAGGTGTTCAGTAGTATCAGAGCTGCCCTAGCAGATCTCAGGTACCCATGTATGTCTGGCATATGTGGCACAGGATCCCAGTAAACTTGAGCCTTCTTCATGGAAATCTGGAAGCTCAACAAGACACGTTGGGCTTGTGGAAAGGGCACTTGTACAAACCCAAGAAACAGCCACAGTTTTTTACCTTGGTACTGGCTTACTATCATAGTTCTGGTTTTAGTCCACTCAAGTTTATACATGTTTTCTAAATAAATTTCTTAATGAGGCTGCCTTTCCTCTGTAAAGTTTGCTTCATTCACAAGGAAACCTGGCTCTTCTCCTTTCAGGGTGAGCTGAAAGACCTTGTCCTTTGCTGTAGCATAGAAGGCATGATTGAGCCCCTCTTTCTGAGCATTTCTGGAGAAGTGAAAGGACTGCATGTCACCTACTCAGTCCCTTGTGACAGTGGAGTTGCCAGGTAAACTGAGGTTTTACCCCTGAATTGAACAAAAGTTACTTCTTCCCAAAGCACAAATACAATAGGGAGGGGAAAAAAACCCCACTTAGCTATGGAAACATCATTCCTCTTCCTGCTGTAGGCAGCAAAGATCTTAAAATGTGATAGTACGATTTGAAGATGCCTCTGTGAAGATAAGATACTGGGTTTGCACCCTAGCCACATTCAGCATCTTCATAAGCCCAAGAGAAGACTGGAGAAGAGCAAGACTCCACTTCCACCATCGTTTAGCTGAGCCAAATTAAATTAACAACTGTGAATTCATTAATTCATGAATCATAAATTGCTGTGAAGTCAACTGCACATTAGTGAAACTCATGTTCATGTGCTCTGCCTCTTCTCCCTTGTGCTCCTGGCACTTGTAACCTGCCAGTTGCCTCAACAGTTCTGTGTGTGAAGAGCATTTAAAGTTACCTTTCCCCTGGTAACCGAAGCGTGGGACCTCTGCAGTCCCTCACACGTTTGTCAGTAACAACTGTCTGCTGGAATGCCAGAAATTTGCAAATTCTACTCTTAGGTGTGAAGTTAGAATTACAGAATTATATGCAAGATCCTGTATTTTGGGCTATTAAGTTTTGTTGTTGCCCTTGTGAGACATGATATTAAAGAAAGATGATTATACTTCTCTGACTTGGTATATCTGACTGATTTTTATTTTATTATTCTGATATATGGCATGATTACTCTCTTTTGGAATATGCTCATCTTTTATGTTTTTATATAAGTAAGAATGGCTTTAATTTGGTAGGTTGGCAAGTTCTACATGATAAAAATTTTACCCAAAATCCATCCTTACCTGGATAGAAGTGAAAAAATGAAAAGCAGTGAACGCTGATGACAAAAACCATGGGCTGCATGGTCCTTTTATGCTGGTCATTGCAACCACACGGCATAGCGTGTTAAAATCTACTGAAGTTATCTGTGACGTAAGAAAATAAGACTGATGTTTTAATATTAATGCATTTTTTTCTTACAGTGATGAAAGACAAATGTTACAAAGCCCGTGTGATCCCCTCTTGGACTTTGGATCTGGAGTTGCGTTCAAAGAGATAGTAAAACGTCAGCTAATTCTTACCAATCACACTGGAATCAGTGCTCCGTTCGAACTAGAAGCGGAGTATTTTACTGGCTGTTCACCTACTCCAGAACAAGGAATCTGCCCGTAAGTCTTGCTTTTCTGCACAGTGACCCCAACGCCAAATTAGGTCTGGATTACATCTGAAATCGGGACAGGGTGCTGTTGCCTCTGTCACAAGATGCACTTTCTGCAGTGCTCTGGTGGGGTTTGTAGAAACTCTTGCTCTGACTGTGGCAATGAAACCTGCCGGTGAGGTTTCCTGCAGAAACAGAACCCGTGCAGTGCGAGGAGGGAGGATTTAGCTGGTGCAAATGGCAAAACTCTACTGTTGCCAGTGGACGTAGGCTGGTTTACACTGGCCAGGGCTCTACTGTGTTAGGTTAGACACAGTTTTACAGCTCTGCAGTTGATTCACTCTTAATCATGTTGCTTTCAGAAAATGCTCTCTAGGCAGTCCTTCTTTAAGGTATAATGGCTACTAACTTAGTAGTCAGGTAGAGCTGTTACTTCAGCAGAGTCCAGCTCACCACAGAAATGTCATCGTTGTGATTTGTTTGGTTTTTTCAAGCTCCCCGGTGAAAAGAAGAGGGCCCGTCACAAAACATGCAGCCAGAAGAGCGCAGTCAGGTATGAGAATAGCTGTTAATCCCTGCAGTGGAGAGAAGAAGGCAAAAGACAACCCACTGCCATACTCAGCATTAGTTGTGCCAGTCAGGCCCATCATTTCATTCTTGGAGCATCTGGCTCCGTCCACACTGTTAAAGGACTTAGTTCCTCGGTTTATTGAGTTTGAAAGTCCACATTGCTTAAGCATTAGGTCAATCTCTTCCCTCCCCAGCTTTTTTCTCTCTCCCCCTGCCTTCTTTCCTCTTCTTGAAAACAGCAGTCTGAAACAAAGGAGGGTGGTGCTGGTGGCAGTTCACACTCCCAACACACAGTATGGATGACATGGCGTAACGTTTGGCTATTGCCCTCCTCCGCAGTCTTCCGCTGCCATGGCAGCAGGCTCTTCTCCCTCAAACCCTTGTATATACCCTCCCCACTGTGGAAAGCTACAGCACAGTCCATCTGTCATTTCTGATGTGTTGTACTGAAAAAGAATAATATTTGGAGCCACCCGAGACCCAGGGAGGAGGGAAATGGGAGCGAAATGCTACAAAGTGTAGGTGTGTGTTCTGTATCCAAAAGACAATTTGGACATGTTGGGACCTTGCCAGAGTGTTTGGTGTATGTTACAGAGCTTTTCAGCTGTTGAGTTAGTACTTAAGATTGGAAAAATGCTGTTCTGACAGACTCCATGCACGCTGATTGACTGGGAAAGCGAGGTGACTCGGAATGTGGAAAGGCTTTGCTCTTTGTCATTCATTCTTTGTGCTGAAGAGCACACGGGTAAACAGCCAGCTGCTGATAGAAAAATAACCAGTTAGCATGAATTCCAGCTTATTTTTCTCAAATTGAGGGTGTTTTTTCATGTAACCAATTGGTGCCTTGCATATCCCAAAGAGTCCTAGACCAGGTCGTTGGAAGGGAGTCCCTCCTTGAAATAATCTCTGTGAGAACTGACTCTCAAAACACAGATTAAGACGCACTACAGAAGGCAGTCTGGGTAAAGTGGTACAAATGTGGGTTGTGTAAGTGATCCCAGGTTTTCTAGAAGCCAGTGAGGTTAGGCTGATTAACACCAGCTAAAAATGCAGTCCTATATATTCTTTGAAAGACCAACTTCGTTCCATTTCCTCCAAATTCATGAAATGCTGCTGTGCTGTTCTCCCTCAGAGTTTGCAGCAGCAGTGCTGTCTCATGGGAAGGGAGCAGCTTTCCATATACAACCTTCCACAGGAACTCTGAAAGCCTTCCAGCAGCTCATCATCGAAATAACAGCTTACAACAACATGTGGGGAGAGTACCGGGATGACCTTGTCTGCAAGGTAGGTGGGGCTTCGGTTTTAAGTGAAGTTTTGCTATGGCAGATTTTACACCGATTGTATTTCCCAGATTCCTTTCTGTTAAAACCACTTTTTCAGTTTGTTAGGACTTTTGTAAAAATTCGGGGTAGATATTGCTATACCTCTACATCCAACGACATGTAAGGAACAATTGTTTGCTCTGACAGTACGTGGTTTGGTTTGGGGGTAACACAGTTATTCCTTGGGAGGTTTTCATCTGCCTTTAAAATGACTGGGGCGGTTTTGATTTATAAAATCTGTTTGGTAGCTGGCCAGCGCACTGCTCTGCTCTACCAATACAACATGCTGTGTTGTATGGAAAAGCCACAGGAAAGCTGATGGATATATGAGGTATTGCAGTCTCCTGCTGAGAAGAGCTTTTCCTTAGCGTGTGAATTAGATGCTCTCAAAAGAAACCAGTCAAAAATATTTGAAAATCCAATTGGCTTTCAAAACATGATTTTGTAACTCAGAGAAATAAAGTTTTGTCATGATTCTAATAGCAAACGTTCATTTTTAATAGGTGGGAGACTTGCAACCTAAATTAATTCCTATGCAAATGACTGTGAAAGGATGTCCAATCTTCCTACAGATGACAGGACCACACATAGAGCAACCCATAATCAGGTATAGTGCAGAATACTGTCAGCAGAGTCAGAGAATTAAATACTGTTGGACTACAGCCAACATACACACCTGCTCCCATCCTTTTATTACATAATGAGGTCAGCAAAGTGCCTGTTGAATACGGTATCTGCTTCTAGATCACCACTGCCTTTGTCTCTGCCAGCATAATTAGAGATGAATCTGCGTACAGCCTCTCTCAGGTTTACCAGCAACCACTGTTCTGGGCTTACAGTCACAGAGGTTCACCCATTCCAGTCTCGTGTGATTCTGTGGGGATGGAAACTGGTACGTGGGGGCAGTTCTCATCGTCATCTGCAGTTCATTTCTCCCTCTCCATTTGCCTGGACTGGGAGAAACGCAGCCCTGAGGTAAAAGGGGCAGGGGAAGGTTTAAGCTCTCTCATTCGGCGAGTATGTTGTGGATGCCCCATCCCTGGAAGTGTTGAAGGCCAGGCTGGATGAGGCTTGGAGCAACCTGGTCTAGTGGAAGGTGTCCCTGCCCATGGCAGGGGGGTTGGAACTAGATGATCTTTAAGGTCCCTTCCAACCCAAACCACTCTGTGATTCTATGATTCTATGAGTAGCACCTGCACATCTGGATAAGGGGCAGGGGTTGGCTTATGGGGACCGGGGCACTACACACCCGGCTATGCAGCGTGACTGCTGCTTTCCGACCTCAGAGGAATTGGCACTGTGTGTCGCACTGCAGCCCAGAGCATTTGCAATGTCGCCTCTGTAATGAGCCGCAGAAAATGGATTTAGCTACCCACCACGAAACACGCTTCTGCACCTGGAAATCTGTGTCTGACACGGGTCACTCCACTGCTGTGTAGCCACTTGCTGCCACTGCCTGAGTCTCTCCTGAAAGCTGACGTGTTTACCCTGAAGTGTCTGAGACAACTAAGAAAACCAGAAGAAAGAGCCTGATTAGATAAAGCAATATTTTATTTCACCCCATAGGCCGTGCTTTACCTGATGGCCACTCTTAACGGGCTGCCACTGCAGCCAGGTAGTTTCCACTCTTAAAATGATTCTTGGATGGAAAATCATTTCAGACGTTCGCTTCTGTTTTCTGCACGGACTGACAGCAAGGTTTCCTTGCCCAGGTTTGGAACTCACGTCTCTGGAGGGTGTCCTGTCGTTCGGAGGGTCCAGCTCAACAATCCCACTCCCTTTGGTAAGGCTGACTGTTGTACAGCAAACGTGGAGGCTTGCACTGCCCTCCTTGTCGTAATAGAAAAATAGAAATTAACAAGTCAATTTACTGACATTCTTGTTTCCTAATTGGGATGTTTTTTGGAAAAATAACAGTCTATAAGAGAGTATGTAAGCTGTTCTCTAACTTGGCGAGTGCAGGGCAATCGTACCTGTTGCCAAGTCTCCATGGCATAGCGGTATCATCGTCAGGGCAGTACCACCATGACCATTAGTTTGCTTTCTGCCCCAGTAAAGCCGGTAAGCTCCAGCCAGAGCGAAGTGGAATATTGACTCAGTGTGTTATTACTATGAAACAGCACATCCTGTCCTCCTGTGTCTGGGTTTTCCCTCATTGAAATGATGGGATTTGGGATTTTCCATCCTGGTTTTGCGCATCTCTCGCAGCACTAAGCCTGGTCAGTCAGATGTGCTACCTCCTGCTTAGTGGCATCATCTGGCTCTTCTGTATTTAGCCTTTTTACCTCTTGAGTGAGATTTTACGCTCTGCAGAGCAAAAGTCAGTGTCTTTTTTTTTTTTTTTCCCTCAATGCCACCAAACACGTTTGCTCAACAAACAAAATACTTATAATTGATTTTAATGTTAATAAAAGTACAGTTTAGGACCTAGAGAGTGGACAAGCTGTAAGAAGAGCATAGCACACGTGGTCTTAAACCATTTTTATTTACGGCAACCATGGAAAGCTTCAGATGTGCCTTAATACAAATCCAGTTTCTAGACACGAATCGGTTACTTGATCTTCTGGCTCTCCAGTACCAACTAAGCTATGAACCTTCTCAATGACCACAAGTAATTGTCTTTTCTCCTTTTCGATTCAGACATCCGCCTGGACTGGGAAATTTATAACCAAGAGCAAAATGATGAAAAACTGGTGGACCTGTTGATGTTCTTTGGAGACCCTTTTCCTCCTAAGGACACAGACGAAAATGAGACCCCATCAACTGGTACCAACTCGGAGTCAGAGATGGTGTTAAAGTTGGATCAAACTGCTGTTCCCGGTGGAAGCATTTATCCAGCTTCTCAAACCCCAGATGAGGTCAGCTGTTAGTCTGTTTTTTATACTGCTGCTGAGATACATGATGGGTTTCTTGGCATGAAGGGTTGAAAACAATAACCTGCGATGTAACTTGTAACTAAGAGCTGGATTGTTAAAAGAAGGGTCAGGTCCTCTCACAGGCAAAAAAGCAATATGTGGGTAGGTGGCTATTGGTGTGAGCAGTTCCCAGAACGAGCTACAAGCACACAGATCTTCAGCTGCTCCTCTTCTCAAAGTTGTTAAAGAAGCTGATCTTTAAAATACTGTCACTGACAAACTAATGCTGTGTTTACACAAAAGTGTTCAGGTAACTAAAACCCCTCAGTTTGGGCTACTCTCCCCATGGGTGCTTTATGATGTCAGTGGAGCAGAATCCAACTTGCCAAGTTCAAACTGCAGCCAGTGTTTTGGAGGTATTTATCCCAGTGCCAAACCTAGATTGCTTACTCTGTTAGCCTACAGTAACGCCTGTTACACAGGGAGGTTGATTATAACCTGGCAATTTACTGTCCTGAAGGGCTGGGAGTGACAGGGAGAAGGTATCATAGAGGGTATGTGTATTTCTCCAGCAAAAGCTTTACAGAAAAGCTATTAAAATCACCTTTTCTCTGTTTCAGCTCGGAAAGCATAGTTGTTTTGAGTATACCTCTAAACTTCCTTGTGCAACAAGGGAAAGGTTTTGCCCTAAATTTCTGGTTCGTATAGTGGCCAGAGATGTTACGGTTGTGTTTCTCTTGGCAGAACAGGACCCAAGCGTGCACGTTTTTCATGGAGTTCAGGAGCAGTTTCAGGAGAGCAAACCTGTGCATACAAAAATGAACGTGCAGGACACATCCACATGTCCAGTTTTTGTGCCAGAAAGAGACTGGAGCTGGCCACGCTTACTGACTAGTGCAGCAGCTCCCTCAACACTTCGCCTGCATTCCTCCGTTGCAGCGTAACGGTTTTAACCATTCCCCACCCTCGTGTCCCTGCAGTCTCTGGGCTCTGACGGCAAAGAGGAGATCGTCACTCAAGAACCTACAGTTCAGAAAATCGTCTCTGTACTTCTACGACCTCATGAAGGGGTTCCTGCGGACAACCCCTTCTCCATTGCTCCGAGACAGATAGTAAGCTTTTACATTTTCTTTGTGCTTAGATTTAGCATATTTTTTCATATGACAGAGAAGACTGAGGAGGAGGAGGAAGCTTTGGCTTGGGGTAGAGACTAGTAAACAGTGACACAGTTGGCTGGGAGGCTTTGGGCTCCTAAAGATGACCATGAGAAGAGTTTGCAGAGTCAACAGAAAAAGAAGCGTCCTACCTACACGTGAGCAGTTAACTGATGACTGGAATTAAGGGTTCAGTCGTACTAGGCTCTCCGGAGTGGCATCTCTGGTCTTCTCCCTTGAGCTGCCTCACTGAAACAGGTGGCATTAGGTGTGAGGGATCCAGCCTGAAGCTTCGGAAGCCCGTTACTTAACCAAGGTGGATTTGCTAAGCGGACGTGGCAGAGCTGGAAAACAAGCTGCTGGGAAAGGGGTGCTCTGCAGACAGCGCTCTTGGATAAACTGTTGTAACCCACAGTACTTCAAAAGTAACTGGTGCAAATAGGGGCCACAGCATCACAATTCTGTAGGAACAAGACAAAGCAAAGGCAGCCCTGGAAAGATCTGTGAGTGACAGGGTTGCCCAAAACATCAGTGTGTCAATTTTGATTCTTAAATACTCGCAAGTTTTTTGCCAAAGGGTTTCAGTTACAAGTTAGGATGAGCTAAAGGTTACATGAAAGAAATAATGGCAGAAATGGCATCTCAAAGCAACGAAGCTGTGGGGTGGCTGAGGCTGAGAGAGCTCACAAAGCACCTGGTGTGGAGAGATCCTCTGCCTCGGTTGTAGCCAGCAGCGAGCTCTGCCCACATGGAATGGAGTTGGTGCCGATGGAGCCATTCAGGTATTCCTCTGCAGAAATGTGTTCCTACTATTGCTCCAGGACGGTCTGTTAGCTCAGGTGGTGTGCAGCAAGGCTGGCCAGGCCTGGCTTAAATCCATGTCTGAGCAACTACGTTCTCTGTGACCTCAGTGCACAGACCCTGCAGTGTTACAGGATGAATCACAGGATGGTTTGGGTTGGAAGGGACCTTAAAGACCATCTAGTTCCAACCCCCCTGCCATGGGCAGGGACACCTTCCACTAGACCAGGTTGCTCCAAGCCTCATCCAGCCTGGCCTTGAACACTTCCAGGGATGGGGCATCCACAGCTTCTCTGGGCAGCCTGTTCCAGTGCCTCACCACCCTCTCTGGGAAGAACTTCTTCCTGATATCTAATCTAACCCTCCCCACTTTCAATTTAAACCCATTACCCCTTGTCCTGTCACTACAGACCCTTGTAAAAAGTCCCCTCCAGCTTCCTTGTAGCCCCTTCAGGCACTGGAAGGGGCTATAAAGTCTCCCCGGAGCCTTCTCTTCTCCAGGCTGAACCAGCCCAACTCTCTCAGCCTGTCCCCATAGCAGAGGGGCTCCAGCCCTCTGAGCATCTTTGTGGCCTCCTCTGGACTCGCTCCAACCAGTCTATATGAGGCAGAGTTTGCTGTCTCTGCTCTGGCCGTGCAGTACACGCCATGCGGCCCCTGAGCTTACAGACTCAGAATTGGCTCTGGAGGGAGATGGCAAAGGTTTTTCTGCAACAATTTAATAATTGAAGGATTTAATCATAACCTGTGCATGTTTCTGAAGCAATAGCAGGATTTAACCATAATGTGTGTGCTGCACCTGAAGAAAGGAGAGCCTATTCAATCCCAGAAAATCCACTGCAGCTGCATTTGATTACATTCCCTGCTGTCATGTAGAATAATTTTTTAAAATACTCTGAATTCACACTTGTAACTCTCCAAAAAAAAATGTTTCTGGTACCTGTGAGTGCTGTCAGTTGTGGGAGAATCATCCGAGCTAGCTATGGAGTAAGAGTGGGCGGAAGTGGGTGATTTGAAAACCGAACAGGTACGTACGTGTGTACTCGGGGAGCTGGTCTGGGACTGTGCTCTAACGCTGTTGATGCTGAAGAGTGGCTACACCGGTATGTGCAGCTGAAACAGCGAGGTCATTCTTGTCGCGACATGCTGTCATTCCGCCGCAAGCGTAGCCCATCCCCTGGAGATGTCCGGTTGTGCAATGCCGGGCAGGTCCCTGCCCCTGACACTTCTCTCTTGGCTGCAGGTGGTTCCAGGGGGTGGCAGCATCTCCGTCCACATCTCCTTCACCCCGCGCCTCCTGCCAGAGCCCGGGCCGCCAGTGCAGTGCGAAGGGTTTGCGCTGGGTTTCATGAGCCTGGATGACAAGGTGAGTGAACTATCGCAGCACGGCTACCGGTTCCCTTCCTGTAACTTAGGCCCAGGCTGCCGTGTACCTGACCAGTCCATATAAACAGCCCTCTACACCCTTCCTTTCCTAGGGCCGTTGGGTCGTTGCATTTGCCTTGCAGCTTGGAAGCGTTCTGGGGTGGGAACGTCACCACCGTCTTAGGTTGTCTGGTGCAGCAGACCCCAGACAAAAGTCTGGGGTTGGAAACGCTGTCACAACATCAGGTTTTGTTGATAACAATAGTTAACAATGGGACTGAGACTCGGGACTGCTGAGTCCTGTTCCTGGCTCTGCATCTACCTTCCTGTGTGAGTTTGGACAGAGTATCTCTCCTCTGGGAAACTTCCTCTTCAGCAACAGCAGTGCAGCTCGCAGGGCAACGTGAACAGCGTTTCAGATTGCTCTGTGAGTCTCTGATGTGAATCATGGCAGAGGTGCAAGGCATAGTGAATGAACGATAACAGAATATTTAATAAGACATCCCTAATGCACCCCCCCTGGAGTGCTGCGTCCAGCTGTGGGGACCTGCAATGTAAGAAGGCTATAGACCAGTTGGAGCGAGTCCAGGGGAGGCCACGAAGATGATCAGAGGGCTGGAGCACCTCTGCTATGGGGACAGGCTGAGAGAGTTGGGCTTGTTCAGCCTGGAGAAGAGAAGGCTCCGGAGAGACCTTATAGCACCTTCCAGTACCTGAAGGGGCTACAAGGGAGCTGGGGGGGGGCTTTTTACAAGGGCCTGGAGTGACAGGACAAGGGGGAATGGGTTTAAATTGAAAGCGGGGAGGGTTAGATTGGATATCAGGAAGAAGTTCTTCCTGGAGAGGGTGGTGAGGCACTGGCACCGGTTGCCCAGAGAAGCTGTGGATGCCCCATCCCTGGAAGTGTTCAAGGCCAGGCTGGATGAGGCTTGGAGCAACCTGGTCTAGTGGAAGGTGTCCCTGCCCATGGCAGGGGGGTTGGAACTGGATGATCTTTAAGGGCCCTTCCAACCCAAACCATGCTGTGGTTCTAATGTTCCTGACTCCCGGAGGAAGAAAGACCCGTGTCTGCATTGAGCACAGCTGTTCAGAGTGCAGCTCCTGCTGAGCCTTTGCTGGTCCTTGCACGTTGCCATCGTGTCTTACGAACAGACAAGAGGTTCTCCAGCAGAATCCTATTTTGGCTAACAGCCTCTCAGGCTAAAAGAAGGGGTTCAGGGTTTAGTGCTACCGTTTCCTACATCATCTTTGTTTCCCTTTTGTTGTCAGCTTGCAAAGGCTGTCCCTAACAAAGTGCGTCGCAGACATGGCCACGGAGCTCCGCCGTTACGAATAGACTTGCAAGCCTTCACAGGATGTGGGATAATTACTGGGGGTGACTGAAAACAATAAATTTGTGAGTGAAAATAATCAGCGTTTGAATGAGAATAACCATCTCAAATACCTCCATAACCAATTACTGGATAGGGTAAGTCGGCTGCTAGGTAAGATACCACCTTCTGCTCCAGTCCAGCAAATTCGTAGGTTAATGTGTCACCCAAACTCCAAATCCCGGGCTGGAGATGACTGGTCGGACAGCGATGCAAGAAACCCACTCCATGGGGGTTCCCTGAACAATATTGCCCATGCAGCGGCATGGAGGGTGGAACGGAGTGAAGATTCCGCGGCCAGGCTCTGAATCACCTCGGAGATGGGAACTCAGTGGTGCTACAAACTGATCAGACGCATGTTTGCCACCCTGGGCCAACAGTCGGTCAGTGTTTGACAAAATGCTGCCCTTTGTGCAAAGTTTGCTCACTGTAATACCAAAACACACCTCCATGCTGAAAGCCACCCGCTTCCGAGGAGTGACCGCCCCTCGCTGAGCGTGCGCTCTGCATCTTCTGAATCTTGACCTTTGGAAGCGGAGTGGGAGGATTTCACACCCATCACAAGTAAAGGTGTGTGTGGCTGAGGTCATTCAAGCTCCACCTTGAAGACAGAAAATAACAGAAAAATGGCTCAAGAAAAAGGAAGACGCTATCGTGAACAAGTCAGGGAAGATCCCATCGCAGATCGCGTCCAACTCGGGGATCAGTCGATGGGCTGAGCCTCTCTTCCCCCCTGTAGGGACGCCTTGGGTGAGACTGAAGCTCTTTGTTTTCCTATGAAACTTGGAAATCTCTATACAGTTATTTTATGCTGCTGTATCACTCGAGTAGCTTTAAGTGATCGGATTCTGGCTGCTGCATTATCCAGAGTCATGGTATCTGCACGTACTTTGCAGACGGTGCACTGTCACCGGCAATCCCTAAGAACCTCTGGAATAAACTGCACTGCACGTAGCCGGCCGCAGAGGCCTCTTATCGGGCGCCGCCAACTCTTTACCGGCTGCGTGATACCGTGGAGCGTGACTAGAGGGGAGGGCAGCGCGCTACGAGTGAATCCGGAATCGTGACAGTTGCATCATATCGAACGCGGCCGGACTGGGTATCACCCAGAACCTAAACCCAGCTGCCCCCAGCCCCT